TCCAGCAGAAGCCAAGCTCTGCCACAGGGAAGCTGTTGGCTGGCAGCACAGGCTGGTGCAGGCAGGGTGACCACTGGCACCTACAGCCCATCTGTGGGTGCCTGCCCTACCTACAGAGCCCCTTGGGGCCACTCTCCTGTCCTGACCTCTCCCACTGCTACCAGATCCTCACTGGTGGTGCTGTGCCACTGCTTGCCCGTTCCCATGGGCTCCCAGGGCTCACCATGTCCTGTGGGGGGATGCAAACCAGTGGCAGCCTGGATGGAGCCAGGGCACATGCGAAGTGGCAGCTGCTCGGCTGGTGCAGGGTGGCTGTGCTGACACCTGCCCCAGCCCCGCTCCCCATCACCACCAGCTGCAGGCATCGCCATGTCCCTGCTCTGCCACCCTCCCTGTTCCCATTGCTCTCTGGCTCCTGCCACTGCTTTGCTCCGCTGAAGTAACTGGCTTCGCCATCACCTCTGCTCTCCCCTCGTGGCTCCAGACCCGCCGCTGATCCTGACAGGGTGGATGCCACCACGCTGGCACCACGGGCAGGGCTCTGCCCCGAGTGCATGGCGCTGAGGCACTGTCCCAGCTCTCTCCGTAGCATCGCTGAGTGGCGGGCAGCAAGGCAGGCAGCAGGATGCTCTCCATGACGTACAGCGAGAGCCTGCGCAGCGTGGCCAGCCGGCACCCCCCTGAGTGGGGGCTGCCCGCAGCCCCCCGCCCAGCCGACGGGCTGGAGCTGCGGCGGCTGCGGGACGTGCGGGCGGCGGCGCGGGCCAAGACGCTGGAGGAGTTCCTGCGGATGCACGGGCTCTCCCTGGCCGACAGCACCGCCCACACCACCGGCATGAGCTACAGGTAAGGCAGCACCAACGCTTGCTGGGGCAGCCAACGCTGCCAGATGTGGGAATGGAGCAGGGAATGTTTCTCGGTGCTGATTTAACATCTGGTCAGGGAAAAGCGTGGCAGGATCCCGGCGGGTTCCCCATGCGGCACCGTGGTCGGGAAGAGCTCGTGCCCTTGGCACCAAGGCAATCCCTCGCCGTTACCTCTTGCTCGTTTGATGGTCTCTGACCTTCTCCCTTGATTTTCCTTTTTGCTGTTGGGATGTTTCCAAGTGCAAACCCATTTGGTGCTGTTAAAAGGGTGTTGGAGCCACCAGCATTGAGCTGCTTTGTCCCTCGAGGAGCATTCGTGGCTGAGCTGGCACTCCATGAATTTTGCATGCGGGTTTTGGGCACGGCACGTGGTGTCTCAGGATTTCAGCTGACACTTGTCCTTGTCATTACCTGCTGGTGCTGGGGAGGACACGCCGAGCAGCCAGAAGGTTGGCCATGGATCCTCAGAGGGCACGTGGCTGACTTTCTGCCATGTCCCTTCCCAGTCTCCCCCAGTAATGCAACTGGGGTGGGGTCATGAGGACTGTTGCCCCTGTGACAGTGGTGGTGCCCCTGGCCCCCCCATTTCCAGCGAAGCCCCCAGGAGACCAGCAGCTCTGCTGGCTCCCGCCGGGGCGGGGCACACCCGGGGTG